CCTGGCAGTGGCCTGCGCGACGAGGGCCGTTAAGGCATTGGGGCTAAGGGTGGCGGCCAAAAAGACCGAGGCCGTCTTCTTTCATGACGGCTCGGCTGGGCCGCCACCCGAAGCTCGAATCGAGGTGGATGGCGAGGACATAAAAGTGGGGGCCCAGATAAAGTATCTGGGCCTCCACATAGACGGACGCTAGGGCTTCGAGGAGCATTTCAGCAAACTGGTGCCCAGATTGGACAGCGCGGGAAACGCGCTATCGCGACTAATGCCCAATCTGGGCGGGCCGTGTGGGAAGATAAGAAGGCTTTACGCCAACGTGCTTGCTTCGATGGCCACGTACGGTGCCCCCGTGTGGGCGGGGGCCCTCATGAGGAGCAGGAAATCTCTTGCGATCCTCAGGGGGGCCCAAAGGCGAATGGCCATAAGGGCCATACGGGGGTACCGTACGGTATCCCACACGGCGGCCACGCTGATGGCCGGGATGCCGCCCCTTGACCTGGTGGCGGCCGGGTACGCACAAGTGTACCGGCGCACCAGGGAACTCCGGGGGCAAGGCGTTCCGGTCACGGCGAGGGTGAGAAGGCTCCTCGGAGCCCAGGCTAGGAGGGAGACACGGGAGGAGTGGCGGACGCGACTCTCGGGGCCTAATACCCCGGGCAAGCGTACCGTGGAGGCCATCCTCCCGTGTCTCGATTCGTGGTTGGAGCGCCCATGGGCGAGGGCCTCGTTTAGGACGTCGCAGGTGCTCACCTGGCATGGTTGCTTCGGTGAGTACCTGCGGCGGATAGGACGCGAGGCGACAGAGAAGTGCCACCATTGTGGCGCAGACAAGGACTCGGCGCAGCATACACTCGAAGAGTGTCCGGAGTGGGATGCACAGCGCCGAGTCCTTGTCGATAGGATAGAGCTGGACCTGTCCCCCAGGGCGATAATATCGGCGGTAACGGGGGACAGGAGCAAATGGGAGGCTTTCTCCTCCTTCTGTGAGCATGTTATGCTCCAGAAGGAGGAGGCTGAGCGGGTGCGGAGAGGGGAGGTAACCCCTACAGCACCGCAAGGTGGGGGAGCGGGGGCCAGAAGGGTGAGGAGAGGCATCCCTGCACACCGACGAAAGTGGACCCTGGCCCGATGAGACGGGACGGGTCATGGGAATAGCCTTCCGGGAGAGGGGGGGACGGCGACCTCAGAGGCCGCCCTCCCCCCTTCCTGGAGGGACTACATACATTGAATGTAGAAGAGGAGCTCTGGGGGGGGCGCGGGATTCGTGGGACGTCCGACTCCGCCCCTAGGGGCGGCGTCGGGTCGCCTGCTACCCGCGCCCCCCCCCAGTGCTCCCG